TTTTAATTGAAAATGCTACAAAGGCAGACTTATAAGCCAGATCAGGCCCACAGGGGTGGGTCATCCAGCCCATAGGCTCTCTCATGGACTGGATGATCCACTTTCATGGGCCAAATTTGGCTCATGGGGCTTGTCGGTTCAGCTGCCAGAACCACTATATGAGCACAGCTTCAGAACCAAGGGGAGTTAATGCTCCTGCTGGCCACCCCACCTTACCTGCTACTAAATTTTGGAGTTGTAGTCACTGTTGGCAACTAAAATCAGGGGCAAAGGGAAAAGAGGGTGGAGCTTTTGTTAACCTCCTGGGTTATAATGCTATGCCAATATAGTGGATCTGGTAACTTTGGGGAATAATGTCATTGCCGCCACTTGCAGGTTGTCCACAGTCTGGAACCAGCCTGCAGGGCCAAAGGCATTTGATATCCTTGTCTTAAGGGAAAAAAGAACCAAATATCAAAAATCAATTAATGGAGCAAGGAATGATATCCTGGTCTGAATAAATCAGTGATGAAGAACATTTTCATGGAGAAGATATACCCAGAAAGCTGAAAACAAAATGCAGTTACAACAGGAAACTCAGTAATGCTGCATCAGATGGGGCAATCAATCTTAAAGGTCTCTTACTGCAGTCTACACATCATCTAAATATTTACTCCTAATGATAACTAGTTCATGGTGGGGTATTTTAAATTTTTAAAAGTAGAAATGTATTATCTGTCTTTTTCAATAACTGATTACTGCCTCAATCATGTCTCTGAGCCTTCTGAACAGTTACTTGTTCACTGGTCTTAATCTTTTGGACATTTCCACCTGTGCATTTTTTCTTTTTGTCTCAATCAAACGTTTGTTGACAGGGTGGCAGGAAGACAGTCACTAGCAGGAGTATTGGTTGCAACAGTCAGCACTGTGAGAATTAATTGAAATTTTCATGAGTGCAAGTTTTTACACAGTTCCTAGGTATAGCAATTGCATAGCTACCATCAGTTAATATTGAGTAACAATCAGCAAGAAACACAAAGCACCTGTCTGTTATGTTAATTCACTTTAACTATTTTCTGAAAGACAATGTTGTAACTGGGTAAATATTTAAGCTGGTCATAAAAATATATTAAGATATATTTAAGATAATATATTTAAGCACAAACCTTCTTATTTTAGATACTTTTATAGAAATTGACACAGGAGACGTTGTCTCTGCCCTTCCAGAAATAGTATTAAAACAACATAAAAAGTTAAATGTTACACTTAGGATGTACCCTGTATTAATCAATACAGGCTAGACTCTTACTTACACTGACTAGTACATTATTCCACAAATAACAACCCTGTCTTCAACTGGGCTACCCACAGAAAAAGATATTACTCAGTATTGCCTAGGCCTCATGTTATCATATGAGTATGCTAATACAGTAATAATCCTCAAGAGCCAAGTCTTATTCCTAGTGAAGTTATAAGGAGCATGAATGATCCATTAAAGAACTAAACATGTGCATGAGGTTCAGTAAACATGAGGTTTGGTAAAACTAATGCAGTGGTCCTAGGAAGTTCAAGGCATACTGTAATTTTTGTTACAGAGAGCATTTAATTAATATGAACTGTAACAGACCATAATACATTAAAAATTTGACAAGTTGATTGTAGTTAGACACAGATCCAAGCCAGAACATTTTGACCAAGTTCTTGAATCCCTAAAGGCTAAGGTTCAGGATTTGAGTCAGTTCATGAGACCTTGAACAACCCCCAACAATTAATCAGAAACAGAAATACTGAAATCACCCAATACAGGCAACCTTGGTGACTCCACTACTACACAGATATCTAAACATGAACACCAAGACTTGCACTTTAGTGTGTATGCATTCTTTGAGATTTAAGTTTAGAGCAGAAATGCTCCTACCTCTAAGGGAGGTAACTCCACTTTCTCCACTCAACAGATCTGATTTTTATGTCAATTCAGTGGCACAACCATTAAAAAAAATCTTTTATGGTTTAAACTCATATTATTGCAGAATCAGCACAGCTCTGTGAAAGTGAGCTGGACTTCATTCTAGCTCCTACTTTAAAAACAACATAGCTAACCAAGATATGGTTGCTATATTTTAGAATGGATGGCAGCATGTGAGCTAAGAATAGCGTGGCTTTTAGTCCCTAAGTTGAATTGCTGGACTACCAATTAGAAAAGTGTACCTTTAGTTATAGACACAAATCTGGAAATCCACAAAGGCATTTTCATGCCTTTCATGATGTCAACTTCATACCTTTTTGAACATATCTGCACTTTAACCACTGAAATTATCCTGAGTACAGGCTGGCCAAATGTTGATTCTAACCCAAGGTAGTTTCTAAACCAGTGATTCACAACCAGGGTGCCATAGTACCTTGGGATGCCTTGAGACCCTTTCTAAGGTGCCACAGGATACTACACAATGCTAGAACTGTTAGGAGTGCAAACATGAATCACAGAATAAACCTAGAAAGATTTCAAATAGGAATCCCTAGTGTCACAAACATTCAGACCTATTGTGGTCTCTCTGAGTTCTCTGCAACAGAAAAAATTTACTGTATTTCCATAGTAAAAAAATGACTGAAAACTCAGATCCAGCGTTTTCCAAGGTGTGCCTTGAGTCTAAGAGACTGAGAACCACTGTTCTAAGTAGTGAAGAACAGTGGTTAGTCTACTAACAACATTTTCACGTGACAGAATAAAGTTTAGTTTGGCCACTGTTCCTGTCACAGCTCTGACTAAGCAAGAATTCCTACCTCAGTAAGGACGGGCAGTGAAACAGGAAAAGGGAACATCCCCACGACCTGCTTTTGTTCATTAGAATATTGGTGGGTGGATCAAAACAGCAGTTCACAGAAGAGACAAATCTCTCCAGCCAAAACTGTAAACACCCCTAGTAGGAACAGCGTGTCTGGTAGAAGTCTGACTGCTCCGTTCTCCCTTCTCCATTGCTCAGCCATCAACATAAACTCAGTTAGATTAGTTAGGTGTAAAATAAAGCAAAGACATCAAAAAAAATCTCACACCATTCTTTGCATTTCCAAATATCAGGAAATAAATGGGCAGTTATGGGCTGTGATCTATAGTGCACCTTCAGAATAACAAGTGTGGACTGGCAGGAACAAAGACTTCTGAGACTTCTTTGAGCTATGACAGTAGTCATCTTTCTAAATAATAATCATTACAATATATGATGCAGGCAGTATCCTGCCCTTTTAAAGGAATAGGGTTTTTTCCCATAGCCCTTTGTCAGTCACAACTTAGAGAGACAAGCTCAAGACAATTTGAATATAGGTTTTATCATAATAAAGATGATGCATGTTTGGACTAAAAGTTTTGGTTTGGCTCTAGCTCTAAACAAAAATACTTATGGAATGGTTTGCATATAAAACTATTCCAACACTTGTACAGGAGACTAGAAAGACAAATAACAATTGTGATGGAAACATTACATAACACCAAGATTGCAGCCTTTCTTTCCCATGTCTCAATTTTCTTTTTTTTTCTGGGATTTAATCATTAGTAGGTACCATATTTGAACCTCAGCAGTTTTATCACATTCAAGTATCTCCAGTTATTTAATGTAGATTTTCAATGAATATAAGTTAGTATTATTGGATAATAATACACACACTATACAAGCAGTTTAAAACGAAACAGCTGTTATACTGAAATTAATAGTTTGCAAATTATCTCCCTGCCTGAATACTGTTGGTTCACGCTGTCTGTTTGCTAACCTCAACTGTTTCCCTCACAAGGCCTATCTATGAAATAGCTTCTCAACTAACATTAGGAACCTGCTTTCTCCTCCTTTAAAAAACCCGTTAGATGCATTCATTCCCTGACATGTACTAGCTGATATATATGCATCACACTGATTGCCTTCTGTAGCTTTTCTGTTTTGTGCTGGTTTATACAATCCTGTCTCTGCCAGTAACCTTCTGGGCAGGGTTCTGTGATTAATTTGACACTGCTTTCATTTGTACAAGAGCTCATACACTTCTATGAGCTTGTGTATTCAATCAGGTTTGTCTGTTGCCACAGACAACAATGACCATCCATTTCTAACGAAAAATAACTGAGCTGCTACAGTAGGGGTGCACAAAATATGGCCCACAGTCTGGATCTGGCCCACCAAGGGATTTTGTCCAGCCTGTGGCAGGTCCACCAGTGCTGCCTGGCTCAGGTGCAGAGGGCAGCCCAAGCGGCAGGACATAGGGCCAGTCCCACTGCCCAAAGACGTGCAGCAGGGCTAGGGTGATATGCAGGCTGGATTCCACTTCTGGCAGCCCTAGCAGTGGTAGCAGTAGCCGTGGCAGCAGCTACTTCTGGCTGCTGCTGCCAGACCAAGTCCCACTGCCCAGGCACCCTGGCCCATTTGCCCAGCACCCACCACCAGGACTGGGACCCACTCAGGCAGGGTGTGTGGCCAGGTGGATGGGATGGGATTGTGGGTGGGTAGGGAGTGGCATCTGGGAACAGGAAGGGGAGGTGGGGCTGGGATCTTGGGGCAGTGACAGTGTGGGGCTAGGGCTTGGGCCAGAGCCACAATCCATTCCTTGCACTTCCCTGCGATGGGTGCTGGTTCTATGGGCAGAGGCATGTGTGGGGATCGCAGATCTGCCCCAGGTCCTGGCCCCACACTGTCGCTGCCCCAAGATCCCAGCCCCAGCCCTATCCATCCTACTCCCAAGTGAAGCTCCCCATCCACATGTGGCCCATTCTGTTCACACAGCCAAGTATGCCCTGCCTGCATCGGTTCCAGCCAGTCTACATGGAGCGGGATCATGGCTGTGCCTTGGGCTCTGGCCCCATGAACGCAGCCCTGGTCACCTGTCCTGCTCCAGGTTGCCACTCCCCGGTCACCTGCAACCCCATCCCAGCTGCCCAGCTGAGCATGGAGCAGAGCCACTTAGAGAGTTTTGGTGAGCTGTTGCTGCGGGGGGAAGAGGGAGGTGCTTACGCAGCACAGTTGGGTGGTGGGGGTTGCAGCTGACCTGGCCTGCAACAGCTCATCAAAACTTCTTAAGTGCCCCTCGGGCCCAAATAATTGCCCACCCCTGTGCTACAGATATTCCTTACTTTCAGAGATGGGGCCAGGTCTCTTGCTGTTCTTCAGCAGTTTGCCAAGTTGAAAAGTAATCATAAGCCGGTGGGATAAATGCAGATAGTTGTTTTCACCTACACAACCTTATTTTCAATGCCATTTTGTTCTTGTATAAAAAAGCACAACACAGGACTACCTACCAGATAAAAATTAACTTTAAGAGAAGTGCTAAAATGGGCAGATCTACATCGCCTATTAAAAGGCATGCGCTACTGTATGCATAATAATTCGTTCTGGACTTCACATTGTTTTTGTGTATGAATAATGGAAAATAATTACTTATCTAAACATTTTACACGGCATAGACTTATATTTCAAGTAAAGAAGTAGATGCTTGTAAACATAATGTCAACTTCTTAAAATGATTCTTCTTTGGAATAAATTTGGTTGCATTTCCAGGATTTTATTTACGGATGTTTGCCAAGGCATAAAGAAGTACTTCCTGCAATTCATACATTAATTGATTTTTCTTGCCTTAACCATTATCAAGCTGAAGGCATTACTGAGAGGATCTCCTCTCATATGTTATCAGTAATAAATATCAAAAGTTGCTGAACAGGTATTATAAATTATAATTAATGATGCTCATATGTGTAGTGGATGATTTTACCCGTGTTATTTCTATAAAAATCCAAGTTCAATCTACAGTAAGTTTATAGCTAACTTATTACTTCATTCTTAACAGGGTCTTGTGTTAATTACTGTATGGGACCATATGTACTGCCTTTTTGTTAATACACTTACGATAAATGTATAATGCAGTCATGTGGGATCCATAACAATGCAGTCAAAATGTATGCTCTATCATTTTTCCACATACTGAAAAAGCCAGAACACACTATCAGATCAGCAATGTTTAATTATCAAATATAGATAATTTTCTTGTAGTTGTCATCATTAAGAAATTATTTGGGGAAGTATGATTATTTATAAAGTGATAGGTGTTTTACAGAATCTAGTAACATAGCTCTGGGCTTGGAGTTACTGAAGTGGAAAAGATCCAAGCCAGAATATAACCAGAAAACTCTGTGAGCTAAAACCAGGGACTTAAAGTTCATTAGACTGGTAACAACATAAGTTTATTGCTTTCAACACCTAAACTCTTCTGATGTAGACAGTGAAGCAAAATAAAGTAATTTAACCAGATGACAATATGACACAAGGATCACATATATTGTTTAAAAGCCAGTATAATGTTAACTGGGCCTATCTCTCTACTTCTGAGTATCCAGGGTTGACAATTTATGAAACCCTGATCCTTAAATGAACTTTGCAGAACCAAAGGTAACATTTCAGGCTACTTATTAATAACACTGATTAATTACTCTTTTATGTTTTAAAGTGAGTAAACTGCAGCTCTACTTGTCTAATCCCACCCTAAAGCAATGCAGGACAGGAAACCTACATGTAGAGAACACAGGACTTGGAAAGGAAAAAATGGCACAATTTTTGCTGTATGCAAACTGTCTCTGCCACTTAAAATTACACATCCAAACATCCTACAATGTCTGCAGCTGTTTACTACTAGGTAAGACATTTCTCAAGGCACTCAGAAGCAGCTGCCCGTTGCATTCAGCACAGAACATCTTGAGATTTTCAAATCTTATAAATGATCAATCACACTGAAAGTGCAACAAAGTATTGTCAGGTCCATCCTCACTTTTGTTTTGCTCTGTTAATTGACACAATTCTTTGTTATCCTTCTGTCGCTGTTAATTTGTCTGATGCTTTTTGTAACATTAATGGCAACTTCTTTTGTGGGCATTTTCTTTGTGTCCCATTTAGCCTGTAAAAATGGAAAAAAATTCAGTGAGTTTTGCACTGACAGCAAATTGAGACATTTAAAACTATTACCTTGATGTCTGTCCAATTTAAGGATTTAAAACCAAGACAATCTACTATGTCCTAGTGCTGCCATATGAGTGATGTGTAGTAGTTTCCTTCTGAATTTCTCAATTCCTGCTAAACATCAAGGTTTATGGGGAGTGCCCTGTAGAAATGAACTGGCTGACATCAGTTCTCCAGGGAACTACCCATAAAACTCAGAGAGAGTTCTACCTAAAATCAGATGCAGTGAAATAGCCCAAGCTATTTGCTACCTGAAGTAAAAATCAGATAAACGTACAATGCACATAGTCGCTATGGAGGTACAACCCTCCTGCTTACCTTAACTTCCATGGGCTAACTCATGCAAGAAGAAAAAGCAAGATCTGATACATAACATATGAGAGTTCCATAGATGTATGGATGGATGGACAGCAAGTTGTAGATCATTTACTGTTCTCTTAATGAGGTAACCTCTCCTTCACCATTAAGGTCCTGTCCAGACAAGTGTGGCTGTGCAGTATGTGGCACCGCAGACACGTCTGCCAGCCAGGCTGCTAACCAGGTTCTGTGTGGCAGAATCACTGCTGCTGTAACCCAGGGAGGCCCCCAGGATCCTAAGTAAGGCTGCTGGAGCCAGCCCAGTGCTGGCCCCAGCCTCCCTTACCACCCCTGGGGTAACTTGCCATGTACCAGAGTGCACATGGCATGGGCATTCCCCAGAACAAGTAGCAGCAGCGCAAGGTGTGCCGTGGTTAGTTGTCCCTGGGGAACCAAACATCCATGCTTGTTTGGATGTGGCCTAGCGATCTTACATATATTAACAAGAGGCTCTACACTTTCCTTCAGTTTTACCTGTAGATGCAGTGCCTAGGGGGGATGTGGATTCAGATTTAAAAAGGGATTTATGTGCATTAATCATCTTCCTGTCTAAATGTATGTGTGTGTTCATATAGTTTACATAGTTCCTGTCTAAATACGTGTTTGTTCACATTTTCGCATTAAATTCAAAATTCTGTACGTGCCTATGCACTACATGCACACCTATGCATTCCAGCATTTAGACAAGAGTGGTCCAATGTGTTGGAATATGAAGGTTCTTTGCATGCTCATCTCAGTATGTGTGCATGCGCACAAGGTAAGCCGAAGGTAGACTGGAATTCAGTGAGGAGGAGTGGGTACACATAATATACCTGGGCTTGATTTCATAAGCATTTTCTAAATATGCTAGCTAACCACACCATGTCACAATCCTCACAAACTCACAGCAAAACAAAAAAACAGCAAATAAGTGAAACAGAGAGACAATATCATGCAGATGTTATCAACAGCAGTGCGTCCCTGTTTAGCTACTGTCTAGACTTGGTTTCCTGTCCTCAAGGAGAGACTGGAAATGTCCAGAGAGGGTATTAAAGATGGCTCAGTTCTGATGGGAGATATATTATGCATTTGTGCAATAATTAGTGAGCCTGGAGTTATGGTGCATTTATATACTTCCTTGCTGCCTTAACTAATGCATTGCTGATGGTGCTGGGAGTCAGGAATAACCCCCTATATAGGTATGGGAGCATAAATTCACTCCTAGTTGAACTGTAGATAAGCTCATATCCAATTCAGCTAATATGGGTGTACAGGCAGTCCTCAATTTATGACATTTCGATCTAAAATGAATGGCACTTACGACCTTGACAAATTGACCCCATGTTTCAAGGTTCCAACATGGGTTTCAGCGTTAGGATGCTCAATCCAGCTGAGTCCAGCTGGTAAGTCTGGAAGGGGAGGGGGGAGAGAAGGGGGGGGGGTGGGGG